CACACTCCAGCACTCCTTGCCATTACATACATTTAGTGCTGGAGGTGCCGGAACTGAATTCCCCCACGTTCCCAGAGAAAAAAAGTCCTGTATACAGTGGGGAAAATAATTATTTGATCCCCTGCAGATTTTGTAAGTTTGCCCACTTACTAAGAAATGAAGGGTCTATAATTTGTATCCTAGATGTATTTTAAATGACAGAGACAGAATATCAACCAAAAATCCAGAAAAAAAACACATGATACAAAGCACAGAGGTAAGACATTTCTTGTAGTTGGTTACCAGGTTTGCACACAACTCAGGAGGGATTTTGGTCCTTTCTTCTTTACAGATCTTTTCTAAATCCTTAGGATTTCTTGGCTGTTGCTTGGCAACTCGAATTTTCAGCTCCTTCCATAATTTTTCTATAGGATTAAAGTTTGGAGACTGGCTAGGTCACTCCAGGACCTTAATGTGCTTCTTCTTGAGCCACTCCTTTGTTTCCTTGGTGGTAAGTTTTAGGTCATTGTCATGCTGGTAGACCCATCCATGACTCATCTTCAGTGTTCTGGCTTAGAGAAGAAGGTTCTCAACCAAGATTTTACAACACATGGCCCTGTCCATTGGAACCCCAATACAGATAAGTCAGCCCGTAACTTTAGCAGAGAAACAGCCCCAAAGCATAATGTTTCCACCTCCATGTTTTACTGTAGGGATGGTGTTTTTAGGGTCATAGCAAGCATTTTTCTTCCTCCAAACACGGCAAGTCGAGTTAATGCCAAAGAGCTCAATTTTGGTCTCATCTGACCACAGCACTTTCTCCCAATCCTTCTCGAATCATTTAGATATTCATTGGCAGACTTCAGTCAAGCCTGTACATGTGCCTTCTGTGAGGGGGGCCATGCGGACACTGTAGGATTTCAATCCATGGCGGTTTATTGTATTACCAATGGTTTGTTTGGTGAATGTGGTCCCAACTGCCTTGACATCATTCACAAGCTCCTCCCATGTAGTTCTGGGCTGATCCCTCTTTTCTCATGATAATTCTTACCCCATGAGGCGACATCTTGCATGGAGCTCCAGACCAAGGGCAATTGATGGTTATTTTGTATTTCTTCCATTTGCAAATAATCGCTCCAACAAATGTCTCCTTCTCACCAAGCTTCTTGCTGATGTTCTTGCAACCCATTCCAGCCTTGTGCAGGTCTACTATCTTGTCCCTGACATCCTTTGACAGCTCTTTAGTCTTCCCCATGGTGGTGCCCAAGAAAGAGATTCTGTGGACAGATGTTTTTTATATGAGTTGTCGTAAGGAGCACCTTCTTAAATTGATGGGACTAATCTGTGTATCACATGAGCACATAGCCAGTCTGTGGGAGCCAGAATTATTATTGGTTGGTTGAGGATCAAATACTTATTGTACTCACTGAACAGCAACTACGATAAACATTCTAAACCCTTAATTTCTTTGTAAATGGGCAAACTTACAAAATTTGCAGGGGATCAAATAATTATATTCCCCACTGTATGTATATATATATATATATATATATATATATATATATATATATATATATATTGTGAAAACTAGCATCAAGTGTAGAGTTTTTTTTAAAGCACACAGCAACTCGCTTTATTCCTTTTAAGGGCCTTTTTGCCCAATTTTATTTAAAAGAAAGTTCAATATCATGTGTTTCCCACGCAGGGGTGTTCACCATCAAAACAAACTAAACAAAATTCAGCCTCCTGGCTCTCTTTATCAGCCCTGCTAGTTAGCAGTACCTCTATTTCTATGGGTGTCCCAGACCACTGGCTAGTCCCAGCACACAGCAGTTGGACTCCTTGAATGCACACAGCCTCCTTCCAAAATATGGCTTTTTGCACACAGCTATCAGCCACCTGCACACAGCTAGCAGCCCCTTGCTGCTCTGGCTTCCACCTCTCCTAGGTGGAGCCCTCCTGACTGCAGGGTAATGACCTCCTGTCTGCCGGGGCGGAGCAACTCCCTAAGCCGTCTGGGAAGTTTTATAGAGGCCCTAATGAGCCCACTACCTTCAGCTGGGCTCATTACCTCACTGCTGAAGGCTTAGCAGTTCCCCTAGTGGAACAAATCCACATAGAGCCTAAATCACGGACAGATATATATGCCGTCCTGGATGCAACCAGGTGATTTTTCCTGTCTACTGTCACTATATATATATATACATACACACACACACACACACAGTGTGTAAAACAGTACACCCCTTTTGAAAAACAAGATTTTGATCAATATTTCAATGAACACAAGAACAATTTCCAAAGTTTTGACAAAACTGAGTTTTCTAGAACATTTATTTAGCTCATTACATAAAAGTAAGGTTAATAATTCCAACCACAGCACTTCCTGCCTGGAGTTTGCATGTTCTCCCTGTGCCTGCGTGGGTTTCCTCCGGGTACTTCGGTTTCCTCCTACACTCCACAGACATGCTGGTAGGTTAATTGGATCCTATCTGAATTAGCCGTAGTATCTGTATGTATGAATGTAAGTTAGGGACCTTAGATTGTACACCCCTTGAGGCTTCGAGACTGATGTGAATATGCAATATATATATGTAAAGCGCTGCGTCAATTGATAGCGCTATATAGGTACCTATAATAAATAAATAAATTAAATAACTTACATTACAAAATCTTCAGGTTTACTCAAATTAGTTGATGAAAAAATGAATACACCCCACAACAAAAAACTACTACATCTAGTATTTTGTATGACCTCCATGATTTGTAAGGACAGCACTAAGTATTCTAGGCATGGAATGAATAAGTTGGCGACATACTGCAACATCTATCTTTTTCCATTCTTCAAGAACAACCTCTTTAAGAGCCTGGATGCTGGACAGAGAGTGAGGCTCAACTTGTCTTTTTAGAATTCCTCACAGGCATTCGATTGGGTTCAGATCAGGAGACATACAGTACTTGGCCACTGAATCATTTTCATCCTTTTCTTCTTCAGAAATGCAATAGTGGCCTTAGATGTGTGTTTTGGATCATCTATTGGAAAAAGTGCACAACGACCAAGGGTACAGAGTGATGGTAGCATCTTCTCTTTCAATATAGAGCAGCACATCTGTGAATTCATTATACCATTAATGAAATGCAGCTTCCTGACACCAGCAGTACTCATACAGCCCCACCGAAGGACACTGTCACCACCATGTTTCACTGTAGGCACCATGCATTTTTCTTTGTTCTCCTCACCTTTGCGACACCATCCAGTTTTGAAGCCATCAGTTCCAAAAACATTTATCTTGGTCTCATCACACCAGTACAGAGTCCCAATAGTCTTCTTCTTGCATGGGCCCTGGCGGCCTTTTTTTGTGAATGGGCCTTAGGAGTGTCTTTCTTCGTGGACGACACCCATGCATGCCATTCCTTTTTAGTGTATGCCGTATTGTGTCATGGGAAACAATCACCCCAGTTTGGATTTCTGCTTCTTTAGCTAACTGCAGTGAACTTGCATGGCGATTTTCTTCAACCCTTCTCCTCAGAAGACACTCTTGTCGAGGTGTTAACTTCTGCAGATAACCTGGATGTCTCTGTGAGATGGTTGCAGTTCCATCTTTGTTAAATTGTTGGATCACTTTTGCTACAGTATTCTGACTGATAAGTAAAGCTTTGCTAATCTTCTTGTAGCCTTCACCTTTCTTGTGTAAAGAAATTATTTTCTTTCTCATGCCTTGTGACATTTCTCTTCCATGTGGTACCATTGCTGACAGCATTAAATGAGAAGGGGTTTTCTTTGTTAAGCAACGCCTTTTTATAATCAACTGTCTGCTGGACACCTGTTTAATGAATAATTAGACTCAATGTAGTTGAACTCTTGTTAATTAGGATTTTGTTGTCTAAAATTTTAGTTTTTGCTTCCAAGACTTTCATTGGGGTGTATTAATTTTTGGAACATGGTCTTGAATGAATTTGTTAGTAAAAATATTTTTTTGTGTGTGCAAATTAACAAATCTTGTTTGCAATCAATGGCCTGCATTTGTGGGAGTATTTTGTAGTATAGTGTGCCATAGAAAATGATTTTGAAAGGAAAGTAGAGGTTTACTGACAAACCTGTTGGGGTGTATTTATGCTGAGCACTGTATATACACACTATATTGCCAAAAGTATTGGGACACCCCTCCAAATCATTGGATTCAAGTGTTCAAATCATCTCCATGGCCACAGGTGTATAAAAACCAAGCACCTAGGCATGCAGACTTCTTCTACAAACATTTGTGAAAGAATGGGTCGCTCTCAGGAGCTCAGTGAATTCAAGCATGGTACAATGATAGGTTGCCACCTGTGCTAGTCCATCCGTGAAATTTCTTTTCTACTAATTACTCTACAGTCAACTGTTAGTGTAAAGTTTTGTGGAGGGGGGATTATGGTGTGGGGTTGTTTTTCAGGGGTTGTGCTTGGCCCGTAAGTTTCAGTGAAAGGTACTCTTAAGGCATCAGCATACAAAGACATTTTGGACAATTTCTTGTTCCCAACTTTTGGGGATGGCCCCTATTGTTCAAACATGACTGCGCACAAGTGCACAAAGCAAGGTTCATAAAGACATGGATGAGCAAATTTGGGGTGGAGGAACTTGACTGGTCTGCCTGTCCTCAAGTCCTGACCTCAACCCAATAAAACACTTTTAGGATGAATTGAAGCGGAGACTGCGAGCCAGGCCTTCTTTCCTGACATCAGTGCCTGACCTACAAAATGCCATTAAAGTTCATGTACGTGTAAAGGCAGGTGTCCCAATACTTTTGTCAATATAGTTTGGATATTTGACAGTTTTTCAGTCCTGATGTACTGATTGCATATATAAAACAGTTCAGCGAGTGCTTAACCACCTCCCGCTCGCCATATAGTAATATGACGGACGCAAGGTGGTTCTCTCGTTCTGGGAGGACATCATATGACGTCCTCCCATTCTCACCGCGGATGCGCGGCTCAGGAAGCGCACAGCGCGGCGATCGGCGATGCGCTGTATCCCTCGGACACAGCGGGTCACCGATCATGGAAAGAGCCGAAGATGTCGGCTCGGTCATGTGATCAGCTGTGTCCAATCACAGCTGATCACATGTAAACAGGGAAATGCCGGTTATCGGCATTTCTCTCCTCTCGAGCTGTCACGCTGACAGCTCGAGAGGACTGAGGAGCCGGTAATCGGCTTTCCGCGGAGGGGACATGTACACTGATCATCAGGGCACTGATGATCAGTGTGCCCTGATGATCAGTGTAGCCCCAGCAGTGCCACCTGTCAGTGTCCATCAGTGCCTTGTGTCAGTGCTCATCAGTGCCTCGTGCCAGTGCCCATCAGTGCCACATCAATGCCACCTATCAATGCCAATCAGTGCCACCTATCAGTGCTGCCAATCAGCGCCACCTATCAGTGCCAGTCAGTGCTGCTTATCAGTGCGCATCAGTGCCGCCTATCAGTGCCTGTCAGTGCCGCCTATCAGTGCCAGTCAGTGCCACCTATCAGTGCCAGTCAGTGCCGCCTATCAGTGCTGCCTATCAGTGCCATATATTAGTGCCATGTATCAGTGCTGCCTTTCAGTGCCCATCAGTGATGCCTGTCAATGCCCATCAGTGCTACCTACCAGTGTCTCCTCATCAGTGCCACCTATCAGTGTCCATCAGTGCAGCCTATCAGTGCCCATCACTGCAGCCTCATTAGCGCATATCAGTGAAGGAGAAAAATCACTTATTTACAAAATTTTATAACAAAAACTAAGAAAAAACTTTTTTTTTTCAAAATTTTCAGTGGTTTTTGGTTTGTTTAAGAAAAAATCAAAAACCCAGAGGTGATTAAATACCATGAAAATAAAGCTCTATCTGTCACACAAAAAAATGCTAAAAATTTAATATGGGTACAGTGTTGCATGACCACGCAATTTTCATTCAAAGTGCGACAGCGCTGAAAGCTGGAATTTGGCCTGGGCAGGAAGGGAGTATAAGTGCCCTGTAGGCTAGAGGCTTAAAAATTTACAGCAGCAAATTGCACCAAAGAGGAACCTGTAACTTTCAAATAGCATATGTGATAAGAGAGTGCAGCACTGTGAATTCAACCAATAATGATGCAGATGATGGAGATATAAAATTACATGAAGTGTCAAGTGCATATAAATCAAGTTATAAATAATATGACAATGTGCATAAAATAAACTTATAAGCAATCAAATAAATAAATATATTTCCATAAATCAATAAAAACACCCAGTGTGAGTGCGATATTGTCCTTAATTGTGAAGTAAAATCTTTGTGCTGATAAAAATAGAATCCTGTATTCAGTTGAAGGTATATTCCATGTGACAAATATTTCATTCGGTGAAGTGCAAAATGTGGTAAAAATGCACACTCACTAGATGCGCATTTTAATTACGCAGTGTGTTACATATGATGAAATCAGCCCGAGGTCCCCTTTAAGGTGAAATGGATGCACAGCCTGGTAAGGATATCCCTCCTCTGGATACTGGAGCTGCTTTACAGCTTGATGTCACCTGGGATTCTCTGTGTCTCTCCCCCTGCTCACACACTGTCCCCCATGTGCTCTCTCTGGATCCCCCGGCTCCGGTGTTGGATTCTCTCTCCCTCTCCCAGCCCGGTGCCCGGTCTTTACCATACAGCTGAATCGAGATGGTAGAGCCTGCACGTGCTGCTGCCCTGCTGTAGTAAATGTACTGTGGAGGGGCAGCAAGTGGTAATCATAATTATTTGTATAATGCGCTAGACTGTTCATAGGGAAACAATGTATTTCTGTTCACATACAGGCTAGATAAAATTGCAACATCAGTGGAATTCTAGAGTTATATTTATATCATTTGACAATGTTTGCTTAAACATTGTACTATTCTTATGTGAAACCCACATCAACATAGAGACTGGCTAATATACTGTATTGTAACAAACCAACACTCTAATTTAGCCCATCAGGATAGAGTGCACATAGTTTGTGTATCCACATTGTTTCCATGTTGCACAGTTTGGTGAATGTATTATAAAACATGGGCTCTGGGATATAATGAATAGTGAAAGTTGTTGGATCATCTTTATGGTATAGTGAAAAATGTCTTGAAAGACTGCTCTGTTGAAAATAACTTTGAATATTAAATATTATTTTGAACATTACTTTGCAGAAGGCACAGGCCCATTCAATAAAGGGAAGAAGCAGAACACAAGTAACATAATTATCCTATAGCTAGAGCCCTGCAAGAAAATAACAGCAAAAAGCATGCCCACACAGGGGCTATGGAGTCAGCAAAAATTGTCAGCGGATAACAAAGTTGAGGCCAACAAATGGCCAAAACATAAACGGTAGCCAGTTTGCAGAGATGTCTCAATACATGTCTCTGGGCAGAACATGGCAAAAACAAAGGAAATTTTATAATAAAACTGATTCAAAATGAAAAGAAGAGAGAGTAGGGGGGAAATATGAAGACGAAAGGAGCAAAGAATAACCAAGGGGGAGCAACTCCATGGATTTCAATGGTAAAGCTCCATAAGCACACCTTAAACACAGCACATACAGCAATTATGGTGTGCTAGTGAAACATTTATAAAGTGTTACCTGGGCACTGAGGAGAGGCAGTGGAGGTTCCTGTATCCCAGAGTGCACCGGTGAATACTAGAGAACTAGGACAGAGCAGCTCCAGCCAGTTCCTGTTTGTACAGAGCAGCTGTGTGGTAACACCCAGGGGCAGACTGACCATTTGGAAACTCGGGTACTGCCTGAGGGCCCGGGGTCAGTAGGGGGCCCCATGAGATGCCCCTGGTACCTTTTTCATAGGCTTTTTTTGAGTTTGGGCAAGGACACAGGGGCCCCATGATCCCCTATTGCCCGGGGGCCCCATGAGTTGTCAGTCTGCCCCTGGTAACACCATTTGCTTCTGTGTGCAGGCAAAAGCTTCAAGCCAGCTAGCAATACCTACAGTGCCAGGCAGCAGTAGAGGCATTGAGCAGAATTTTCAGTGGCAAAAATTGTGTCAGCAGAGTTGAGCTGGGCCAAGTCAAGTGTCAAAGAGATCAAAGTATATGAATCCATCTTGTTGAGAATTCACAAAAAGGTCTGCTATCACACCATAACCTAACCACACTCATTTTCTCTACACTTCCCCTTCAAGTACTCCCTGCTAGAAAAGCAACACTCCCATGGGCATTTATCAAGCATTCTTGAAGCGTTTTCAATGCTTCATAAACACAACAAAACACTTCATAAATGATATAGGCTTGTTATTGAGCATTTCTTCATTCTTCATAATTAACACACACATTTGAACCAACCAAAAAAGACCCAATGTTGCATCCCTAGGGACCCAAAGGTAGAATAAATTTTGGAGTAATTGCTAGCAATACACTGAGACAGAATTCAACTAGCAAAAGAAAAAAAGGAATACATTGGACTGCAGACCATGGACTTTATGACCACATCACAAGGTATATGTTTCTTTTAAAAAATAAAATCTTTATTTATGCACATTTAACCAGTTGCAGACTCTGGGTGTATTACACATGCCCAAAAAATTAAATCATTGTACACAAGGCATTTGTAGAACATCCAGTCTTTCTGCCCTGCTGCCAGGACCTCCCCTGTCCCAGTACTTGGCAATTTAGCTTTGATTACTCAAAGAGGCATTGCAAAGTTCTGACAGCTGAAGCTGTCAAAAAAGCAGTCTGGCAATGTTTATCAACAACATTGCTCAACTTGAATATAGAAACATACAAAGAAACATTGTTTCATTTTGTATCTTTCTGTTTATTCATCTACAGGTCGAAGGGATGAACTTTGATCTGCAGATGAAGTCAGTTAAAGCAGCCTGACAAGTAAAAAAAGTTTTTGTTTTTTTTTTAATTAAACGTTCCTCTATTTAACCCATTGTTAACCCTTAGTTTACTCGAATCAGCCCTATCTAACTCCTTATTCTCCTTCTCCATTCAATTATTATTTTCCTGCTGATATTTTTTTTTTATTTTTTTGTTCATTTCTATTTCATTAACAATATGTATACTTTTTTTTTTTCTTTTGTCCGTTAACATTTTTTTACCTTTAACATATATTTATAGAAGTAAAAAAAAAAAAGAAGCCAGTCTGTCCTAATGAATAAGAATGTCACTTGATAAGGATACTTCCTATTCGTTTATAGCCAAAAATATCCCCAAGATTTCAACAATATACATCAAGAGTACAACAAACATTCATTAGTCATCCATAATAATATACCAATACAGGCACTTGTATATAAGGACAGAACTCACAGCGGTCAATCACAAGGATCTTTATCAGTCCAGCACTCAGCTTAGGATCCCCCAACCATATCCCTTATCGCACTCAGACAGAAGCTGGTACATCCTAAAGACCCAACACCCAAACAAAGGCAAAGTAACCTGGTGTATGCAGTGGAGTGTTATGAGGAATGCAAAAACATGTACACAGGAGAGACTAAACAACCTCTCAACAAAAGATAGGCTGCATATACAGTTGGAGGGTAAATTCTACAGGTCAAGACTCAAATATTTCCCTACTCCTTAAAGTGGTTGTAAAGGCAGAAAGTGTTTTTACTGTAATGTATTCTCCTCTCCAAAACCTTCTGCATGCCTTCCTCCAGCCCTCCCTAATACTTACCTGTGCCCGATCGCGATCCTCCCTCCTCATTGGCTTAGATACAGCAGTGGAAGCCATTGGTTCCTGCTGCTGTCAATCACAGCCTGTGAGGAGGGAGTGGGGGCATGGACAAGCCATGCTCAGTGTATCTTGTGTACACTTAGTGGGGCTCGACAGCAAGCACACTCGAGTGCCCCTATAGCAAACATCTTGTAATGAGGACACTCACTGGGAGGGGGGAACGGGAGAAGCCAGGAGTGCTAACGGAGGACCTGAGAAGACAAAGATCAGGGCTGCTCTGTGCAAAACCAATGCACAGAACAGGTAAGTAAAAATAACATCTGTACCCAAACATTTTGACAAACATTCACATCTCGAGACACATAAACTGAAAGATTAACATCACCAATAAAGAGCAGTGCTTAGCCACAACAAACAGGACAGGGAAAGAAGCTGGTGGGGCAGAGTTGGAGTTTGTGAACACACCACACCGCTGCCTGAATAGGCAACTGCATTTTTGTAAGTGTATTGGCGGCTTTTGTAAGTTTTTATTGATGTGGTTTTAAGAAAACGTTTTTACGTACTACACTTTAAGAGCTTCTTTCCCTGTCCTGTTATTATTATTATTATACAGGATTGATATAGCGCCAACAGTTTGCTCAGCGCTTTACAATATAACGGGAGACAATTAAGCAACAATACAGTTGCTGTGGCTTGGCACTGCTCTATATTGGTGCTATGTTTCCTTTGGAAGCAGGCTGGTGAGTGAGCTGTGCACTGAGTGAGAGACTCATCCATCCAGAGAAGGTTAATATAAACTGTTTGCCTTTGACTGCGTCTATACATTTCGGTAAGTGCAATACTTACCTCTGGGTGGTGGGTGTTCTATTCCTAT